AGCCTCTGAGCCAGCCAGGCTAGCCGTCTAGTCCCAGTCATCTAAATCCGTTTAATGAAAAGGCATTACTGTACAATTTCTGAAAATAAACTCATGTCCCCCTGATTTAAATAAACAAGCGTCACCTTTCTCTCACTTCCTGAACTGCGAAGTAACTTCGTAGCACATTTAATAACCCCAAAGAGAGGTAGGAAACTCATTTATTTCCAGAAATGGCATACGATTTACTAGGAACCACATTAAGCACAGCCAGTGATATAAAACTAGCTACTTACCACCAGAGTTGTCTTCAATGCTGGTCGTAACTTTAGCTTCTGTCCAGAAGCATCAAAAACACAGCATTCGTTAAAATGTATGCCATCTTTCTCTTCCTTGAAATTAAGCCAAGCTTTTGCTCGCTTTGAGCATCTTTGTTTTGCTTTTCTAGACTTACGCCTGGTCACATCGTACTTGCAAACTGAATGCCGTGTGCGTAACTTGCGTAAAAAACGTGACTTAAGTCGTGCTGCCCAGCGCTAGGCTCTGGTGCTGCCTGGAATGGTTAAGAGAATCATTAAGCAAGCTGCCAAACAGTGCCATGGAATTGGAACACATGAAACCTGTTCTGAACAGGAACCGGTTTTCGATTCCCATCCCTACCAGTGATGTTACAATATATGATTGGCTGAACGTTGTCGATGTGACACATAGTAGTTGCTGGACAATGATAACATAACGCAACGTCCAAGTAGGGATTAGTGTGTCTAATGACCGATAAAGTTTTACCTGATTGATAACAGAACAAAAAAAAGTGCTTATAGTGAAGGAAGTAACTACAAGTCGATAGCATAATGCGGGAGAGCCGGAAAATGCTTTGGCTAGGTGTGCTCACTAGCTAACAGATTTGCCTCTTTTAGCTCGGTCAGTTACCCGTATGAGGCTACACTACTTTTAACTTCATGTCAACAACAACCGTTACTTCTCTACTAGTAGAATAACTGTGGTTTTCTTTGTCTAAAATCTCCACAAAATTCATTTTTAAGATGTTCCTTTTTCCTCCCCTGCCCTCAGACCTTATTAAAAAAAAAGAAGCAATGAGACTTTTTGTGTTTTTGTGCATTGATAAATGCCAGAGCTCAGTCTGTCTTAGAATACAGTATTTGCCTTTAAGACTAAGAATGATTGTTTTCTACTTTTGGCTACCTTAGGTCGCCAAGGAAACGTAAATAAAAGAGAAAAATATATAATAATAAGTTTAGACTGAGTGGCGTTGCTCTATGATGACGTTATCAGCAGGGGCAGCGACCCAAACAGATCTGACCACCCGAACAGATCTGTAACCTACACATGTACCACAATGCTTTCATTGGTAAGACTTGGGTCCTGCTCACACCTCCCCCCCCGACCCCATTAATCTTTCCACAAAAAAATGAGCGAATGTCGGCCATATATATATTTTTTTTCTTCTCCCAGCTGGAATCTTGAAAGTCACGTGACTAGGACGTAAAACAATAGAAAGCGTATAGGTAGAAGAAACGTAACAGTACCACAAAAAAATGGCCATTAATGTACCTCCACTACGTTTTGCAGTGTGGACCAACGTAGTGGGGGTACATTTTCCCATGAGACTGGGTTGTGACACCATCCAGATGGGTTACAGTTGATGATGTAACTAGTGCAACAGGACTTAGGGAACAATGGAGAGCAACATTGCCTAGTCAGGACCTAGACAGTGTGCTTTATTATTTGGCTCTTTTGTTTATCCAAATCTCTCTGACCAGTGCTGCGTGTTGAATGTAATGTCAATGTAATGTCGAATGTTGAATGTAATGTAATGCAATGTTTTGTCTTATTAGATCAGACACAACTGCCGTGATATTGTGTTCCTTGTGCTTAATAGTATAAAGTATTTAGCAAGTCGACCCGGGTCTGATGTTCCCACTGTACGCTGAGTTGTTTGGTGCGGGTCAGTGACCCATTCCCACTGCACCTAAGAGCAGATTCTTTGTGGATTTAAACAAGTTCTTTGGCCAGTGGGAAAGAGCAATTAGAGGAGGAACAGGGCCAAACTAAAGGCTGGGTCACACCGGTTGAATCTGACGCTACAGGCCCCAATACGTTTTAGGTTTTTCTGTCAAACTGGCTGCATAGAGACCACCTCTACGCAAGCATCCTTCTTGTTCCATTTTTTTGTTTTGCTTAAGCAGAGAGAGGACTGCTATTTCACTTCATCTGGTTTCTATTCTCTTTAGGACCTAATCTGGGTAAAGCACACTGTTTATTGAAATGTTTGTGTAGGTCTGAGCCTGCTCTGCTTGCCATATATGCCCTGTGTGCTTTCCAAAAATGGATAGCCTTGCTGATTTACCTAGGAGTTCAGAGATTTTAATTCAGTATTCAGTGGATGTGTTGAATGAAGACATCGTCAGCCGGTGGAAGGAAGAAAGTGAGGGTCTCTTCAATCCGACCAACACGCCTTACATGGACTGATTTGTTCATCACCAAGTTGAGCGGGGACACTGAACTGGCCCTTCATGGCTTTCTTAAAACACTGAAAATGACTCATTTTTTTTTGGACAGTATTGGATGATATTGGGTTGGATAATGGCTTGGAAAGGGCAAAAGTGGTTTGATTTTTTAGTGGCAGCTACATCATACAGTCAGCCAAAAGACTGAGTGAACATCAGATGCATTAGTCAGGATTATCGGGTGAGAGTATGAGTTTTACAAAGGTTGCATAATAGGTTGACTTGTACTCTGATGCATGTTGTGTGCAGGGTGCATCAGAGAAGTTTGGGATGCCTAATCCTAATTGAGCAAACAGGTAAGGATCCTTAAGCCGGAGCAGAAGATCATCAGAGGAGCGCTATGCTATTATTATTGTCAATAAGAAAGGAGGTAGGAAGATGAAGCAGGATCCCTTCTATCTCCAGTTCAATCAGCATATGGACCTCCCAACATCACAATCCACCGTATAGGAATGACACAGTTTCCCATAATGCTTTGCATAGCAGGATGTGTAGGCACAGCCCACCTCACAGAGTTTAACAAGATTATATGAATTCTTCACTTGTATTCTGTGACGCATGCCAAAGTATACACCATCATATGCTTTAGATTTTATGACGGAGAACTTAAGCTGTTTGCAACATTTGCGTAACTTTGGAAAGGCTGTAGTCTCTCTTTGACAAGCATTATCCATGTGTGTCCCCTTCTCATAATGAGGTCTGAAAGGGCTAAGGAACTTCAGCTTCAGGATATCATTTTGCAGCTCTTTTTGTACTCTCGATAGAGTTTTTACTGTTGACTCTGGGATAGGAGGTAGGAAGAGAAGGTAGAAGCAACAACATGCCCACATCGGAATCAGCTGAAATGTACCACAGCCTCCCACATCAGGCCATTGTGAAACTGCATCATCCTGATGCAACACCTGATGAATGCATGAAATCCTTGGAAAATAATTAAAGAACAAAATTGTGGCCATCTTGATTAGGTTTCTACAGCAATTTTTCTAATTAAATCCAGCTTGGATTTTATTTCTATCAGCCAATAAGAAAACAGAAGAAAACAGAGTTTCAGCGTCTCGGTGGGATTTCTAAGAGGCCCAGTGTTTCTCTAAGTGTTTGGAGGCCTTGGGAGGAAGTGAGCAGATTGGGTTGGGTTGGAGAGTTTGTTGTCTCCCTCGGGAGGTGAAGAGGTTTCTGCAGAAAACACTGCCAGTCACGTCTGGCCCTCTGTGGATAGTAAATCATGCTCTCAACCGTGCTTCTCAAAAGTGCTTCCAAGCAGCAGTCCGAGCTCCCCCCCTTGACTGCAAATGCAATACGCCATGGACCTGAAGGCAGCAGGACCACCCAAGAGCCAATTTGGGGTCACATGAAGACACATATCCACAGCAAAACAAATAAGCATGCACTCTCCCAATCGAGAGCAGGCCACTGTGCCTGTCCTCGGGATGTGAGGCAGGATACTTTGTGGCAGCAGGGGTGAGGGGGGCACAGTAATTTCACAATAACTAGTGGTTTCAGTGGTTTCTCTCACTGGGAGCACCATACCACACAAAGTCCCAACTTCCTCCATATGAAATAAAAAGAAAACAATTAAATGTTGGCTAACCTTTGTGTTTAAAAGGCCTTTAGGCGGAAAAACAAACGCCAAGAAAACATGTCATCGAACCAGTTGAAACCAAATAGGAAGGAAACAATTCAGAAACCATTTAGGTTTGGGCAAATTCTTTCAAGCAGAAGTTAGATCAGGACAACAAGGGGAAATGAAATGGACCAAAAACTCATAACAACTGTTTTCTATTTCATTTGTGTGCCGGATGACTGAGCCATTAAGGAAAACCAGTGCTTAACAATAGGGAGGATATTTGGGAGTTAGATGAGCAGCATGAACAAAAAGACATCTGACAATAAGCATCTGTCAGAATATGCGGTTGGTGTGTGTTTGATAAGGTTGTAAGGAAGGAAAGGAAAAATAAAGGAAGATACAGGAAATAATGGAGAAAAGTTGGAGAAATGAGGAAAGGAAACAATGACAAATGAATGGATGAATGAATGAATTAATTAATTAATACATTTACGCTACAGAATTTGGAATTAAGAATGCAAATCTTTCTACATATAAATCAAGACTTAGAAAATACTTGAAATAAACTCCAGACTACATAGAAACCGTGATCCTTTTTTTTAAAACCATTTATTGCATTTTACTTTATCTTTACTCTGTATCTGGACTGAATTATTAAAAACTTTAATTAGCTCCCTTATTTTTTATTGCAAATTTAAACACTGAACAAAGAAATTATTTTGCCTGTTAACGCTTTCTAAAAGCAGGCCATCCTTTCTTTGACAGGGCAGGATTGAGAATCTTAGTTTAGTTCAATTTAATGAAAAGAAGAAGAAGAAAAAAATCAGCAAAAATATAAATGTGAAACCACAAACGAGTGATACTGGTATGAGATTCCCTCACTGCCCAACAGCCAAATAAAAGAACCAATCAGGAGGCGTTTCACTTGCCTGCCTCTTTGCAAACAGCAGCTAGATCTGCTCCAACGTATCCGTGAGCGACATCGGCCAGCTGGATCAGCTCCTCTGCAGTGGCGCTGCACGGCACCATACTTAGCTGCTTCTGCAGAATATCCGCTCGCTCTGCACTACCAGGAACCCCCACCTGATCAGAACATGGAATGGATCACAGGGAAGAACAGGGACCGGGGGGCCATCAACCTCAGTCAATATGGAACACACCTCTAACTCCTTGTCAAAGCGTCCTGGCCTGCGCAGAGCAGGGTCGAGGGCCTGGGGCCTGTTTGTGGCCCCCAGCACCAACAGCTGGCCTGAGTGACCCTCCTGGAAACACAAAATGGATTCATTCAAGACAAACAGAAAGAAGTTATGCCTTTACTAACAACAGCAAACTTATTAATAATCATCTTCTGGGTGTTGTCACATTTTATCCTCATAATTAAATTGAATTTTTAAGGATTTTATGTGATTTTATAAGTGATTATTATTAAGAAGTAAAATAAAATCATGGATTAATCCTTCCACAGCTCTTTTAGTCATCACAGCTCCCAACAATCTCGATAAGAGCTTACATCATTCACAACACCTGTCATCTCAAGGCATTTTACAGAGATAATACAGTCAGATTGGTTAGGAAAACCTGTTGATTGCTTCCAGTCATTGATTTGGAAGACCTGCAGCTAGTGGCGCCTCCAGAAATGTTTGATAGGGGGGCCAGATGGGCCCACTAAAAAGCTTAGGGTTGTAAACTAAAACTAAAAGCAATAATTTCAGGGTTTTAATCTACTATTGTTGGTAAACCTGATTGTAGAAACCATAAAGACTCAAGTAAACACATACTCATATATTGGTTTATTGTGTGATTTTTTATTCTAGGTCGCTGGCTGTGCATAATTGGATGAAATGCTAAACTGATGCTACTAGAATTTACAGTGGTGAGTGGGGTGGCCAGTAGCTACATATATTAATAGGTTCTTAGAGCTAGTTAACATAAAGTATTGATGGGGAAGAATAAACTTTTTTTTTAAATGCTTTGGCAGAGTTTGTATACTTGTTAAAATGTTGAAAACTCTTAAAGATCCCTAATAATAATAATAATGTAAATTCTCATACATCTAGCGTGTTCGAAATACACCATAGTGGAGTTGTTCAACATTCTGCCTCCAAAATTGCAGCTTGTTTACTGACTGCTATGAAAAGAATCTTTCAACATTAAATCTGCACAAATCCTGGAGCCTTTTAAATTACGTTTAATGCTCACTTTAATGGCTTTTGGTTCACACTGACCCAAATGCTGTTGGTTCTTAAACAGTTTTTGTCTTTTATCTTTTTAATTATCATGTCTCTGGTCCTTCAGGCTGTTTTCTTAGTGTTGCGCACTCTTTTTTTTTTTTAACTGTGGTACTTTTATTTTAAAACATGGCTGCTTTGCTTGTAAAGCACTTTGTGCAGCTAGACCTGTTTGATATGTGCGATATAATTTAATTGGACGTAAAGAATGGCTGTTTGTGGTCCTGTTTACTATGACTCAAAATGAGACTTGGAACATCCTGATCAGGTCATCCATCCTGCAGCACATAAAAAAATATTCACACTGAGGTCCAATGTATCCTCACGTAGGGATTTTTGGAGCAGGGAAGGAAGCCCGAGTACCTGGAGAGAACCCACATTTGAGCATGGAGAAAATGCATCATATTGATGAAAAAAAGGTTAAATAAATCATTACATCCTTATGACACGGGTGCATCCAAAACCTGGATGAGTTAGTTGAGATACTTTGATTACTGGTTTCATTTGGGTGAGAATCTTAAACTATCCTGGGATTCAAAGTTGCCTATATCCTTTATTTTCTGGGGGGGAGGGGTTCTGCCTTCTCTTCTCCAACATTTTATACCGAAGGAAAAGAAGTTAAACAGATCAACGGCTGTGCAGACCAGAGAACTATGGAGCAGGAAGTGTCTCTCTGCATTCCACATCCCATTTGGTGCCGGTGACCCCGGACCACCGGTCCTGCCAGCGGAGAGCAAGCCGCTCCATCTTCATATCATGGCCATTTCCCTTTCAGGGACATGCAGTTCTACTTAAACCCATCTCTGGTGTCTCTCTCATAACATTTCTGGGATATGTGTGTGTGTGTAGTTTTAAAGGTTGGGGGAATCGTTTCTCTCATTAGAGCTTAGAACTCAAACAGCACCCCAGAGATCCGGCCCACAGCGTCTGAAGTGCATCCAGCCTGTAGATGGTTTCTGCATGTCAATCTGCATCCCTGATGAGGAATCCTGAAAGCAGCAGGAAGTCAGCTCCTCCTGGGAGGCTTCTTACCGTCAACCCCCCCCCCCCCCCCCCCCCCCCCCCACACACACACACACACACACACACACACACACACCCCACACCCCAAACTATTTGCACCTCTGATAAAGATGTCTACCATGGATAATCTGCCACTAAAGAAAGTTTGCATCTACAGTAATCTCTGACCCATTCTATTCTATCTAACCTGATTGGAGTCTCAGAGAACTCTTTAAGGTTGCTGTATGTTACTTTAGACTCACAACTTTGAATATACTTTAAATTCTGGGCTTTAAATCAATCAAGTGGATATTGTTTGATCCATATAGTCAATCTCTATTATTGTAGATCTTTGATTCCTTTAGATAAAAACAACAAATTCAAATTAGCTATATACTGAAATCCATCAGTCATTCAAATAAGCATTCTGCTATCCTGGGATCAAAAACGATCATAGAGGACACTTTATTAACCACTTTCACTAATATTTGTTCTGTGCGACTTAAAAAAGCAGTATGAAGTCTTTATTTTGGTATTTCAGACCGAATGTAGAAACCAAAGACCAAGTAGAGTTCTCTGTTTTCAATAACCCTTCATTTAGAAAGAGAAATGTCAATATCAATGTCCGTTTAAGTTAGCCTCTCCTCAAAATGGGAAAAAAATCTTGAAAATTCCAGTTAGGGAAGTCGGATGTGTTGATCTTAGTAGATCATGACTAAACATGTACGCAGCTTTTTATTTTATTCCTTTATTTAACCAGGAAAAGTCCTATTGAGATTAACAATCTCTTTTTGAAGGGAGTCCTGGCCAAGAGAGCGGCAAAAGATTACATTACAAATTACATTACAGTTTACAATTACATCTATCTATAATTAGAAATTCATAAAACAGTTACAAAGCATAGATCTCATTTTCAAACCTTTGAGCAATCATTTAAAATGTCAGATTGGAATCAAATCCTTCAACTTCAAGTCTTTCTGAAGATTGTTTCATGCTGTGGGGGCAGGTGTACTGAAAAGCTGTCTTTCCAGCTTCAGTGTGGACACTAGGTACAGACAGAAGCAAAGACTCTTGAGAGCATAGAGAATACAGTCCAGCTGTTCTTGGTTGAATGTACTCACAGAGGTATGAGGGGAGCAGATGCAGAATACCCTTATAAATGATCATATACCAGCTAGCTACTGTAAAAGGAATCATTAAAAACGCATGTAAAAACAAGAGAGCGACCGGTGGGCTGATTTTTTTGGCCAATCGTGAATATGTTCAATGATTCTTTAGTGCCTTCAGCAGAAAACGTATGCATTGCTGCTCCCTATATTTACATTGTCAGTGTTTTATTTATTTATAATAAATGTTTCTTTTTATTTTAACTGAAAGTTGCGTAACAGTTATCATTACAACATTTTATTATGTAAATGAATGAAGAGAAAAGTATTATGGTCAAAGAATTTGATGATAAAAACTAATAAAGTAATTTGATGCTAGGATAAAGGCTTATGAACCATTAAACATGGAGGGTGTTGAGCAATTCAGAACCAAACCTTCCTTATCAAATTACAAGCTGATAGAAGACCTCATGACCAAAGATGTTCCTGATTTTTTAAAGGCTGTTTCTAAATAAGCCCAGAAATGGAGAGAATACAACTAAGAGTTGATCTTAGCCAACTTACCGAACCGATGCCGTCCATCAGAGTCAGGAGAGAAGCGACGACTCGTTTCTCCACCTCATTCTGAGCTCCTTCTCGCTTTGGGCACAAAGCGTCCAGCTCATCTATAAAGATGATCGCAGGCTGCCTGTTAAAGCACCAACAATTTGATCAGATTTCAATCCATTCTCTAAGAAAGCGTTCCGAACAAGAGAACTGAAGAGTGAACTGGTTGGATTTACCTCTGAGATGCGTCTGTGAATATCTGTCTTAACCTCGCTTCTGTTTCGCCATAAAATCTGCAAAGATATAGATATAAACATGAGCCTTTGAGTGGACGTTCTACGCCATGAAGGTGTAGAACAAAAGAATGGGGGGAAAACGAAATCCGGGAAATGACTATAGAGATAAAATAACCATCTCTATGCTGTCATAGGTTTAGACTGCTGGAGGACATAGGGTCCACTTTTCATCATTCTGTTTTATTGTATCTCTATATGTTTGTTTGTCTATTTCTTCTTTAAGATCTATGTCCTCCTGTTGGACCCCCAGCAGACCCTCAGCATGATGCTGCCCCCTCCCTGCCTGGCAGCTGTTAGTGTTCTGTAGTTTGAACATTCTCCAGAAGGCTACACACCTCAATTAAAGCTGTTGATTACGGAGATGAAATTTCTAAATTAAATCCGTTATTGTTAATCTGTCCTCCATCTGGACAGTGATGCTGGTATTCCAGCCTCTTTTAGTTTATGAATTGTTAATCCTCAGTAGGTCACCTTGAGTTATTCCTGAATATTCTAATTTATTTTCTTTTAGTGTCAGATAGGAGTTTGGGTCAAATAAGTGAAGCTTTGACATATTTGGGTGTTTCAGAACAAAACTATTAAAACCAAACATTAAGAAGCAGATAAAATAGGGGATCATTAAGCCTCTGGAATTGCTTTAACATGTGGGCATAAAAAGTGTAAACTATTTCTAGATGTCACACATGGCAGAGATGAAATTTCAGCTTAAGATGCAAGCTTCTAACTCAGCACTGCGTTGTGTGTTTAGTTCATCTATCCCTTCCTAATATCCCTCATGCTGTGAATGCAGGGTGTCTGATCCACGTGTTCCTACTTGCTGATGATCTCTGGCCCGTTGATCACCACCATGTGAGCGCCCAGTTCGTTGGCTATGGCTCGGGCAATCATAGTCTTTCCCGTGCCTGGCGGTCCGTAGAGGAGAACCCCTCGAGGAGGCGAGATACCTGTTTGGATTCATTGATGCACAGAGTTAATGAATCTATAAAGCTGACAGTTTGACATGGAGAGCAACAGCAATGTGGAGTAAGTGACGCACCGTAGTTAGTGAAAAGCTCTGGTTGTTTGAGGGGGAGCTCGATGGTTTCTCTGATGGCATCCAGCTGGCTGCTCAGACCACCAATCATGCTATATATGACCTTTGATTTGGGGACTTCTTCATCTTCGTCTGAGTCTCTCTGCCCTGCTCTGCTGCTAAGTCTGACTTTGGTGGAACATGTCACACAGTAGAACGTGTCACTACACGTAAAACCAGCAGTGGGTGCTGTGGAGGTCTTTTCAGAATGCCCTGAACCAGTGCAGTCGTCTGGGTCGGCCTCTTCTGCAGACTCAGCGGTGGAGGGATTGAAGGAGGTGGAGGAAGGAGTGAGAGGAGCGGCAGGCGGTGAGACGGAGGGAAGAGGAGCCGATCGGAGAGGGGTGCTAGCAGCCGGGCGCGGCTGTCCGGGTGTGCCTGGTGTGGCGTCGTCATCTACAGTGAGCATGCTGAGCTGCAGGGAGAGATCGGCTGATGTGGAGTTCAGCACTGAGGAGTCTGTGTCAGGAGGCGCTCCCAGAGGAGCAGCCGGTCTCTGGAGGGTGACGCCGTCCTCCCCTCTGATGGTTTCAACCCGAAGACTGCAGGAGCGTCCAAAATAACTCAGAAAGACAACGTTTCCTGGGAGGATGATGCTTCCAGCTGATAAAAGAGAAATAAAGGTTAACCAACATAAGAAAATCAGAGTCTGCAAAATATAAGCAAACGGGCAGAACAGGAACTCACCCAAAGTCCTCACAAAGAAGTTCTTGAATTCATCTGCATCAAGAGTTTCATCCTTTGACCTGAAGAAAAGATGTGGAACATTAATAAATATAAACCACATTGAAATAAATATGAACAGAAACATATCATTATTAATTGGATATTAAATCATTCATTAAGATAAAACAATCAATAAATCAGCCTTAGTTTAGACATAATTCCTTCTTTATGTTATAGGCAGTAATTGTTCTCTTTAAATCTCCTCTTTTGAATTTCTAACAGCTAATTCATCATCAACAATGAACAGAATAACACTAAATAACTGGAAATAAAACCAGAGGTGTCAAGTAACGAAGTACAAATACTTCATTACCTCACTTAAGAAGAATTTTGGCTATCTATATTTTACTGGAGTAATTATTTTTTAGAGAACTACTATTTCAAACTTTTTTTTTTTTTTTTTTTACAATTATCTCTATTTTTTACTCCTTAAATCTTAAAAATAGTCTTGTTAGTTTTGTTTAATTTAAGCTCATTTTCGTTATGGCCTGTTGGTATTTAAAAAAACAACAAAAAAACAAAAAACACCATTAAAATATTTTTTTTTTAATCCAGACAATTAATTTCGTTATGGTTAGGCTCAGTACTGCACCAAAATAATATACCAAAACAAATCGTTTTTTCAAGATGACACAAAATTAAATTTGACACTGTTGCTATTAGTTAAAAAAAGAAAATTCCTTATAAGGAAGTAAACACCCAGAATTGTAGAAAACTGTTCCTTTAATGGAATAGTGCATGTAACCAGTATGAGGTTTAAAGCATCTGTCCATTTTTCTTGCACTACTTTTACTTTTATAGTTTAAGTCGTTTTAAAAATGGTACTTTTACACTTTACTTGAGTAAAAAGCTTAAATTGATACTCTAACTTCTACAAAAGTATTTTCAAACAATAGGATTTATACTTTTACTTGAGTTATAAAGATTAATACTTTTGCTGATGAAGGTTCTCAGTCATCCAGGTCATAGTTATTCCATAAAAATTCAAAAAATATCCACTGGACTTGGTTTCCAAGATTTGAAGACATTTTGCTACCTCTCCAGGAAGCTTTCTCAGACATTTGAATAGTGAAAGCTTCCTGAAGAGGTGGCGAAATGTCTTCAAATCTTTGAAATCAAGTCCAGTGGATATTTTTTTGAATTTTTATGGAATTAATACTTTTGACACCTATGAATAAAACCAACATTTCTAAACTAACTTTGTTTGATGCAATTGGAACTGCAATTACTTTTCTTAGCCAGCAGATGGCAGTGTTTACCTAAAATACCATTGTGCATTTAAACATTTTTTCTAACTCCTGTCTTTAACAGCTTTGGGGTTATGCCAGGATTCACATTTCAGGCAATGTATTTATTATTTTTATTATCTATTTTATAAGACTTCTACATCTGCTGCAGGACATTACAAAGATACATTAAAAAAAGTTTAAGCAACCCAACTTACCATATCTAAAGATTAATCAAAATATAGAATAAAAATGCTTTTAATAAACAGCACTACCTTTAAAATGACAGAAATTAAGCTTCAACACAATTCTAACATTTATGCCTGCATTTTTTACTAAACAGAGATAAAGCCAGAAATATATATTTTTAAAAACATATAAGATGATACAGACAAAACTTTCTTTTATTTTGGTCTATCTATAAAGCTGCCAACAATAACAGATTCCTAAACAAACCTATGACGTTTATTTTCCCATGTTTATAAAATGCCTCCAGTATGGAAATATTTGCTTTAAAAGACAAAACGCATAAAAATACACAAAACCCAGAACATCAAACAGTGAGAAACGCTGTAATCATGGACTGGGATGTATACCGATATACAGGAAATGTCATTAAACCGATATTGAAATTTTCAAATAACAGTCCTGTTATTTGAAATAAGTTAATGGAGAAGATTTTTCTTATTTGAAACATAAATCATCTTATTCCATTACCCTTATTGTCGTACCTGCTCAAATCAGGGTAAAAATCACGAAAAACTGACTTACTTGTACTTTAATTTTGGCAATTATACTTTTAGAAAACAGAACAGCAGCAGGATTTAGGCTTGGAGAGTTTCATCTAAAGCTCCATAAGACCTCAGCCAAATGACTCCATGAGGCAGACAGGTTCTGCTTTGAAGGAGCCCAGATACCTCACACCAACTCTTAAAGGTTTGGTGAAGGTTTTCAAAAGACCCGCCCTCCTCTTTAAAAAAAAAAGCACAACCACAATCACGTACCCGCTCCCGAGAGGAAACGCCCATTAAACTCATTCGAGAGCATGCACCAGATCCATTTCTCCCCGTGCACGCTCTGTTTAAAAGTTGCTGTTCTCATAGCTCATACAAGCTTAATGTGTCCGAACGTCCGCCCCAAATTCCCTCCATCACTATATAGAGCAGGGACTATATAGTGGACTTTATAGCAAACTTAGTCAACTGACCATTCGGACAGACGATCACAGCTTTTAGCTCCCTATTGGTCACGTAACTCCTCCTCCACTCCGCCATCTTTGATATTAGTCGCCGCTGTCGGGTAGCAACAGCAAATCTTATAAGGCTTTACGAGGAGAGCTCTCCGCACAAAGCATTCTGGGATACATCTGCCTCTTCTGAGGCCTTTCTTTTCTTCTCATACACTTCGTAGAAACTTTTTCTCTAATGATCCTCGGCCATTTTCAAAGTACCGCTGTAAGAAAGGTGAGCTTCAATGACTGTCTGAAAAGGACGGCCTTACGTAAACATATCACCATAAGGGCAGATTACACTTCTGCATCAGCACACATCAAATGTCGCTTGCGTCTGGTTGCGAACCAGTTTTGCTGGTATGCTTCTGCAACGTCGGTCTGGAATTTTTAGGGACGCACAGTAGTTTCCCACCAAAGCGATAGGGGGAGCCTATTTGAGAACTTGCGAGAACTTTAGCGGATGGTCACGAGAACTTCTTCGGCGGTGCCAGCGGGAGTGTTTATTTTTGAAAACAACATGTCTGGGGCATCATACAAGTGGTTGTACTTCCGAACCTCCTCAATCAACCTTTCGTTGTGCTTATCCATTGTTGTTATTATTCCTTGTTTTTTAAAAATAGTGCGCCCGGCACCGAATCGAGAAGGATGACCACACAGAAAGCCAGAAAGGCATACCAAGGACCAATCACAGCTGCTTTTTGTCTGTGTACTTCCGCTTGAGGTCTGCGCGGGTTTGGGACCGCCCGACATGTACTCAGGATTTTTATGAGGTGAGCGACGATGGTTGCAGAACCTCTGCGTGGGGGGCGTGGTCGCACACAGAGACAGATTTGACGGTTGCAGAGGCTACGCGTCAGAAGCATAAATTGACCTTTATTTAGATCATCCACCCGAAAATAAAAGATCATCCTTTATACCTTTAAACATGGTGGTGGAGGGCGAATGATTGGGGCTTGTTTTGCAACTCCAGGACCTGACAGAGCGTCAGCATACAAACACAGAGCTCAATATGAAACATCTGCAAACCTTTATAAACTAAAGCAAGGTTGTAGAGAAGGTTCGGTCAAAGGTGCTCAACAATGAAAAGAGAATGATGATGAAGGCTGACAGAAAGCAGCTTTTCCATTTTTGGCTCCTCTTTTGTTTCAAAAATAATGACAGAGCCGTATTGCTCACTTTCTATTTAAATGACTTAATGGAGCAGCTCAGTTCTACTGTATCCTGATGTATTAAGCCCTAGAAAAAAAAACGGTTTCTATGTGTAGAATGATTACCGATTAGAGAGAACCACTTCTTCAATCTGGACCACAGGACCCGTTACCGGGTGCAGCATCACCGCCTCCCCTGGTTTAATCCCCAGATTCTTCTGAGCAGATTTCTGAAGGCCAACTTTTCCGCCTGGAAACGATGCAACAGGCCAACCCAGGCACACCTGGGCAACAGGAAACAGGAGAGAAGGTTTCATCTATAGACGACTGGAGAGTTTTTCTACAGGCTAAGCGTGTTAAATTTTGTATCAGTCATTGATGTGAATGTTAAAGCTTCTACCAAAACAGTAGTCAATGAAAAAAGCTTTTAAATCAGAAATTTGTCCTAGAAATTATAATTTAACTTCCTTATTTAAATATTAGAGGAACCAAATCAATGTCACAGAGCATCACTGTTAAAGGAAAAAAAACAAAATCCCAACAAATGTCGGCTATGTTCATATTCTTTGATGCATAAATTAAAAAAATACTTTCAAAAAGCAGGATTCTACCTTTTAAATGTTACTAAATTAAAGCCAAAAATAAAAGAACGCATTTCCATCCACAGCATCCATTTCTACTGAGATATTTTACAGAAAGAGGACTGGAAGATGGACGTCACCTCTTGGCGTCCTGAAGGACTCGTCAGCAGGACCGGCCTCCCGATGCAAACACCTGCAGACTTCATAGAATTGAGGCTCAGCTGAGCTAAAGTCCATCGGCAACTTCTGGGTGTTTTATCATCGGCTGTGAGGTAGAAAAAAGGAAAAAAAGTGAAGGACGAGGGAGAAAAAGAAGTACATCAAACATGAACGTGCTAAATATTATTACTAATAGTTTTTTACTGATATTCTATGCAGGGATTCCCTATGCCGTTAAGATTATCAACATCCAGAGATGCAGGTTATATATCTGTGAGATTTTTATAGAAATAACAGCAGTAATAGGGTTAAATCTGCTGTCAGGCTGGATTTAAAAAGTATAAGATGAAAATATGTTTATGAAGAGCTGCTTCTATTCAGACCCAAAGTTCGTGCACTTAGAGAGTATCCATGTGTTTCTCTTTCTGTTAGTTTTGCTCATTAATGTAAAAAGATGAAGAGATCTGTTGTCTGTCTATTGGCTATTGAAGCTCTGACTCCAGCCTCACTTTTTAAATTTCCCCACAACTTCTTTAAAAGAGCTTTGCTTCTCCATCCTCCCAAAGGATTTCCTTCAAAAAAAGGTTAAAATGTAGTTTTACAAGTTTGAAGACGTTTTGCTTCCCATCCAGGAAGGAAACTGTAACGCAGCAATAGAGTTGATTCCTTCCTGCTATCATCTCAATCTTCCTCATCATGCAGGGGACCAAAACATCTTGCCTTATCAGCGTGGCCAACAACGACCCTAATGACTCCCTTTTCAGAGGCTTAGACCTGTCTTGCAGGCTAACAACAACCTCAAAGACTCCCCATTACAGAACCTTTTTTTGGTTCAATCTGCATGTTTTCTAAGCCAAAACAAGGCTTTGTTAGTGCCACCCTATGAGCCTGGAACTCAAACACTACTCCAGATATTTTGAATTGAGAAAGCTTTCCGCACTGATTATGCCAAAGGAAGAAAAAGGTGTGTGAGTTATATATATATACAGTATATACAGTGAGTCCACATATGACAGCTTCTTCTTCTTCTTTTTTTACATCGTAGGATCACTATACATTATTGCACAGGATGTTTATATGGGTATTTATATACATGGATATTTATATATATAAGTATTGCACTGGATGTCGGATATAGAGAAACAGGTTATTGCAATGGGTATCATATGGTAAATTGCACATTCTACATTGCACAAGTTATTGCCGTTGTATTGTCGCATTGTAGGGATGAATGAACTTTTTAAAAGCAGGGTGTAAAAGTCTTTCATTAAAGGAGCTGCTCAGCTCCTCTACAGTCTGGTGCAGAGGGTGGAAGGTGTTCTCCATGATGGATGTAAGCTTGGACAGCACCTTCCTCTCAGCCACTTCCTCCACTGAGTCCAGAGCGCAGAAACAGCCTTCTTCACCAGTTTGTTAGGTTTGTTTGCCAAGCAGACAACAGCATAGAGGAGGGATGGTGCCACCATGATGGGAATTGAAAAGTCCTTAAACTTGGAAAGATAAAGTTCAGTGGGGTTTTTTTGTGTTTGTTTGTTGTAGTTTTTTTACTTTTTTGGAATAACTATGACCTGGATGACTTAGAATCTTCCCCAGCATCTCTCCCAAGGGATGTGTTATTCCTGGTGGATGGACACATTTTTGTTTTTTCCTTCCACTTAACTTTCCCCCCCATGTGCTTGATATGTCCCTCTGTGGACTGACAGCTTCTTTATCAACACATTTTAAGGGCATCAGTATAAGCATAAGTAACTTGACTTTGTAGGTCTATGCAACAACATGCATGCTCGTGCACATTAATGCTGTCAGGTCGTGCCAGAAATTAAAAAAAGAAAACTTACTCTTTTAAGAATTGTTATTATTTTCCAGGTTCAACAGCACAGAACAAAAACTGCAACTGCATCCTCAAATCTACTAAGACCTTCATTTTCTCATCAGTCTGCATCCACTTTAGCTGTTAAATGTCAGAACGTCGGTCCAAATTCTCACCTTTTTCAATGAAATCCATAACAGCCAATGAGTTGCAGTTGGAAGTTCTGCAGGTTCCTCCATCCAGCCCAGATGTTTGCAGATTGCAGGACTCATCATTCTGAATCAGTGAATTATCTCCCTCGCTCACTCTTTTCGATTTGTTTTTATTCTTCTTAGAAGACATTATCAATGAGGATTCTCCACGTGAAAGTTAAAACATGTGTAAACATGAAGCGGAGCAGTAAACTTCCTGGTTTAAGATAAGCCCCGCCTCCTTTTACTGTAATACCCCTACAATTAATCGCCATGCTATTTTTTTTTTTTTATCTAATGTGCGGAGCTTTTCAATGTAATATTAATAAAGTTTCTTATTGAAAAATTTCGTTTATAAAAAGAAATAAAATAAAAATAAAAAATACGTATCTCGTGAAATGGAAAACTCAATTCTCATTTCTGAAAAAATTCGACGTAATCGCATTAAAAAGAAAACAAATAAACGTTGTTGAGGTTTTTGGAAACATTTTTAACCTAACGGCTTAAATTGTATCACCTGCAGTTCCATTTTCCATACTTTCCTGTTTATTTATTGTTAGCTTACTTCTGCTTATTCGGGATTTCGGTTCATAAACATAACATTACGTCACGTTAGTTGATATATTCAAAAGCCAAATTTTAAAACATTACATTGAAAATATTTGAGAGCAAATTTGGTGAATAATAATGGCAACAATTGGCGTTAGGGTCACACAAGTAAACATTCCTACAATTTAGCCGACGCTAGTTTCTTCTTGCGCATTTAAACTGGTCATTACGGTATTTACACAATATTGCGTCTGAGTTTTTATGTAACTGTACTGAACATGATGCTAACATGCCGGTGTTAAAGTGAAGACGTTCAGCTTTTAAAATAACCCTTTCTTTAGGTTGTGTTTAAGATGGCGGCCTGTGCCTTGCTGTCCAGACTCTCCCCGCTGCTCAGAGAGCGGCTCGGCTGCAGAGTTCGGTCGTTTTCCTGCGCGGTTCCCTGCTCCCAGCTGCACAGAGCGGAGGGAGCCGCTGGTCTAAGCGGCAAAGTGGACCGGTTCGGTGGAGTGACGGTGAACCTGGCAGAGACAGGACTCCCAGCGGACATAAGCGAGCATGCATTCAGCAGATTGCTGCAAGGTTTGTTGTCCTGATTCAGTAATTGATGTCTTATTACAAATCTGCAACATGAACACAAGCACTACACCACTTCCGTGCTTTAAAGTGTGGGGAAATGTTTATTATTGAATCCTGAATGCACTGGGAACAAAGTGTCCCTACAAAGCAAGATAATAATAACATAGTTTTATATTTCTAGTCCTTAAAAAACAATTTATTTAATCTGTTTTTGACATTTAATCAAATCAATTAGAATTATTTGGGTATCAAATAAGCCTGTTTATTTGTAGATGTAAGGAACAAAAAAGACAATACCAAAGGAAAAATTTTGCAAGTTTATTTTCTTAAAGAAATAAAGGCAGTAACCGGAGGATGGCTTTGGGGTCCAGAATCTGTGAAGGAGCTCAGATGAACCCTGAGTGAAGGTGAGGGAGAAGAACAAGGGACAAAGTCAAAGAGACTTATAGGGGTCATAGAATACAAAACCAAGTTTACACTGTCATAGATGAATAAAGACACACTACTCAAAAAAAATTATGTAACACTTTGTAATCAGAGTATAGCATCAAGTTAATTAAACTTCTGGGATATTGATTTGGTCAGGTAAGTAGCAGAGGGGGTTGTTAATCAGTTTCAGCTGCTTTGGTGTTAATGAAATTAACAACAGGTGCACTAGAGGGGCAACAACAAGGCGACCATCAAAACAGGAATGGTTTTACAGGTTGAGGATACTCACATTTTTTCCCCTCCTCATCTTTTCTGACTCTTTTTCACCAGTTTTGCATTTGGCTAGGGTCACCGTCACTACTGTTAGCATGAGGCGCTACCTGGACCCTACAGAGGTTACACAGGCCTTCCAACTCCTCCAGGATGGCACGTCAATACGTGCCATTGCCAGAAGGTTTGCTGTGTCTCCCGGCACAATCTCAAGAGAATGTAGGAGATTCCAGGAGACAGGCAGTTACTCCAGGAGAGCTGGACAGGACCGTAGAAGGTTTCCAACCCATCAGCAGGACCGGTATCTGCTCCATTATGCAAGGAGGAGCAGGAGGAGCACTGCCAGAGCCCTACAAAATGACCTCCAGCAGGCCACTGGTGTGAATGTCTCTGACCAAACAATCAGAAACAGACTTCATGAGGCAGGGCTGAGGGCCCGACGTCCTCTAGTGGGCCCTGTGCTCACTGCCCGGCACCGTGGAGCTCGATTGGCATTTGCCACAGAACACCAGAATTGGCAAGTCCGCCACTGGCGCCCTGTGCTTTTCACAGGTGAGAGCAGGTTCACCCTGAGCACATGTGACAGACGTGAAAGGGTCTGGAGAAGCCGTGGAGAACGCTATGCTGCCTGTAACATCATTCAGCATGACCGGTCTGGGGAGGCATATCCGTGGAGGGATGCACACACCTATACAGGCTAGACAAAGGCACCCTGACTGCCTTTAGGTATCGGGATGAAATCCTTGCACCCATTGTCAGACTCTATGCTGGTGCAGTGGGTCCATGTGGCGAGAGTATGCAGGCAGTTCCTGGAGGATGAAGGAATTGATACCATTGATTGGCCCCCACACTCGCCTGACCTAAATCCAATAGAACACCTCTGTGACATTATGTTTCGATCCATCCGATGCCGCCAGGTTGCACCTCAGACTGTCTAGGAGCTCAGTGATGCCCTGGTCCAGATCTGGGAGATACCCCAGGACGCCATCCGTCGTTTCATTAGGAGCATGCCCTGACGTTGCCAGGCATGCATACACGCACATGGGGGCCATATAAATTATTGAATACCATTTTGAGGTGCTGCAATCAAATTTCAGTGGTATGAAGTGTTGGCAGCTGGCCCGCTGACTGGACCGGACCTCAGCAGAGAGCCATGAGCCGCCCGTCCTCAGCTGGAGGAGGGGGGCTGGGGGCTGGTGAATTCGGATAAATTATAAATGCTTTTATAATTATTTTATAATTGTAAATGCTCCCCAGGAGGATGGGTAAAGTCGGATAAATTATCCAGGACTTTATAGATTATGCGAGGTGGTGTTCTTTTACAGGGTTCCTGCGGGTCCTTAAAAAGTCTTAAAAGGCATTGAATTCTTCAAAATAAACTTAAAGGAATAGTACACCCAAAACATGATTAGCCTTCATTTTCTACTCACCCCCATGCTGAACAACACTCTGGAGTACTTTTTTGATATCTCAAATGCATCTGGAGATCTGGGAGGCTTCTTGCTGTCTGCTGACATTCAAATAATGGAGGTCTATGGCGCCCGAGACAGAAAGGTCCACAAAAGTCCACAAAAACGAGTCAATATTCCTCCATACTGCTCGTCCAATGTAATCCAAGTGTCCTGAGTGGGTAGCGTCCATAATTTACTCGAAACGAAGTCATTTAGAACGTTTTAGAGCCTAAACAGTAGTGTATAGGATTTCCTAATAGCGCCCCCATGCGCGCTCACGATTCTACGGAAGCCGGCAGACCAAACCAGCGCATTCAGCTCATCAAAGAACTCATGCTCTTCCTCAACACTGAAGTCCTCAGACATTTTTCTTTTGTTGTTTCTTTCTTTGCACAGGTAAACAGCACATTTCTTCTTCTACGCTTGCATTATCGGCAGAGCAGACGCTGAATGCGCACTTTCTTCCGGTTTGGTCTGCCGGCTTCCGTAGAAACGTGAGCGCGCATGGGGGCGCTATTAGGAAATCCTATACACTACTGTTTAGGCTCTAAAAACATTCTAAATGACTTCGTTTCGAGTAAATTATGGACGCTACCCACTCAGGACACTTGGATTACATTGGACGAGCAGTATGGAGGAATATTGACACGTTTTTGTGGACTTTTATGGACCTTTCTGTCTCGGTCACCATAGACCTCCATTATTTGAATGTCAGCAGACAGCAAGAAGCCTCAGATCTCCAGATGCATTTGAGATATCAAAAAAGTACTCCAGAGTGTTGTTCAGCATGGGGGTGAGTAGAAAATGAAGGCTAATCATGTTTTGGGTGTGCTATTCCTTTAAGGCCTTAATTGGTATTAAAATCATTCTTTCGTAGGTCTTAATTTTTAAAACATCATAAATAGGATTATTTTTATTATGATTTATTTTTGTAATCTTAATAAAATATTAAAATTGACAAATGTTTTTTTTGTTTAAAAAAAATAATGGCTCGCTATTATTGGTTCCGTCCGGATAGCGGAACCAATAAAAGCGTTGTTGCGGCCAGGTCATTTGGGAGATGCGCCATTAACTTTTTGTCTGGAAAATATGAGCAAGTGTAAATGTAACCAAAATTGTCTATCCAGCCAAGAGTTTTCTGCGTGGCTAAAACCAGGGAACATACATGAGGCACCGTGTATTTTGTGCAAGAAGCTATTCAAGCTCGGAACGATGGGAATTAAGGCAGTGGAGTTGCACATGCAAAACACAAAGCGTCAAAATGGAGTTACCGAGAAACAGCCGGTATTTCTCAGTTTTGTTCCACCCTTGTCTCTGCAACGCATCCAATTATAACCAAATCAAACATACTAAGAAAACGATACAAAGAAAAATAGCTGAAAAAGAGTTAGCACTGGTTATGTTGTGGCTTTAAAACTTATTTGTTTTGTTCCCTGCTAAAACAAAGTTTGTGAATTCAGTTAAATAATTGTTAATATAGATCTGTCATTTGTGTGTTTTTAGCTTTCTTCATGTATGGAAAGCTTTTCAAAATGTGAAACATTAGTGCAGTGGTTTATGTTAAAATAAACCTTTGGGTTAAGTCGTTGCAAGCAGGTTTTTCTTGTGTTTCTTGTGAATTTGGTCTTAAATTTTTATTTCAAGTGGCAGTAAAAAGTCTTAAAAAGTCTTGAATTTAACTTGCCTTATGCTGTAGGAACCCTGTTTTAATGCGAAGGAGAGCATGCAGGCAATACAATAATTTGTGCATCATGTGTGGATTAGGACTACTGCAATTCGCAGACAACAAGAGAGGGGGGTGTGGGGAGGAGGTTGCTTGTGAAACCTGTGCGTATCTGTCCAAAGCGATGCTCTGTTCCAGGCGACTGGTTGTCAGAGAGTGCGGTCATTGGATTAGTCAGAAAAGTAAGCCAATAAGTTTTGGTTTAGTCTCTTACAGTCACCTTGTTTCCGCTCAAAGCTTAGCATCCTGTGCATCCTCCAGTAAAAAACGAAAATATAAGACTCATTTTACAGCAGAATTTTGCTGCGCTGTAGGCGACCAAAACCCGGACGATTTTGAAATTCCCCCCGGGAAAAAGAGGACGGCTGGTCACCCTACCATATCAATTTGATGTTTCAGTTAGTGAGTGCTTGTTGCTGTGATGCGTCTTTACTCAGCAGCTTCGCTTGTTGTAATAGAATCAATTTACAACCAGAAATCTAAGCTAAATTTATATCAGAAATCCATTACATCCCCAGTCTGACCCTAACTGAACCCATAGAATCAGCTAAAAATGTCTCATTAACTCAATTTTATTGATGGCAGTTTTTCCACCCAATACATCTTTGCTAGCTGAACCAAACCCACATTTATCTGTAGCTTGTAGTTTTACTGAGTCTGTTCAACACATTTTTTTTTTTACTTTTCAAGGGAAGTTAATGCATACACCAAATTTGAATATGTTTGGTTGTTTCAGCTTAATAGAATCTAATTCTGTTGACCCTTCTTTGGATCAAGTTATGTTCAAATAACTTATAGCATCTAAAATAAACCAATGACAAATACATTTGTTTGATCAATTCAATGGTATTAACTTAAAGAGCAGACACACTTTTTGTTTACAAACATGTCATATGCCTAGCCTGTTGGATAAAGTCAGTGAATATGCAGCAATCCCTTTGCCCAAGGATAGGTCAGTTGAGAAGAACTGCTCCCGTTCTAAAAAAAAGTTAAATAGCCATCCCCATTGATTTTTGGTCCCCAAACCAATCTCACCTGGTCAGCCAGACCAACAATTGCCCCTAACAACTCCCCTTTCAGATGCATAGACCAGTATTGGGTATTGCAGGCTGACAACGACCTCAATGACCCCCTTTCTTAAGGGGTGTACCTGTTTTTCAGGTTCAATTTGCGTTTTTTTCTAAGCCAAAACAACACTTCGTTTGGGCAATTCTATAAATTTGCACTCAACAGTAATGCAGACATTTTGAATTGAAAAAGCTTCCTGGGTGGAAGCAAAACGTCTTCATTTTGGAAACAAAGTCCAGTCGATGTTTTTTTTTTCACTTTTTTGGAATCACTATGACCTGGATGACTAAGAATCTTCACCAGCAAACTGCTCCCTTTCTAAGCATCTGCAGGAACATGCTGGGGGATGAGAGGACAGTTAGCCCCCTTTACTTTGATATATCCCTGAATGAAAGTAAGTAAGAATAGTCCATTAAAGTGAAATATGTCAGATGTTTTTTAGACAAAATAATGCACAACATGCATCGTTAAGACCGTAGCAGGTTACAAAATGGGATACATTTTGAGCTGTTTGATATTTCTGGCATTAAAAGGTAATTTTAGTTTGAATCCATGATGATAAGCTTGTGGGTTTCTTGGTAATGCCTGATGTCTGGACTCGACAGACTCTCTGGTCCGGTGGAAAGCAGAAGGGAAGATGGCGGTGTGGCTCCGAGTTCCTATCTCACTGAGCCGCTGCGCAGCTGCAGCATCAGCTCACGGTTTCACCTTCCATCACGCTAAAAGTGACCACGCTGTACTGGCTCTGTGGATGGGGGAAGGAGAGAGCAAACTGCCCGGGTTTGCTACTCATCAGGTTGGCGTGGCAGGTAGGAATTTATGCTTAATACTCTTTTATTTTAAGGGGGATACATTCATATCTTTTGTAATAATGTTTTATCTCTGAAATAATGTTTACTAGAAAGTCTTACATCGTTTTTAGATTGAAATATTTTCTAATAACTTTTTTAAACCATAGAGAAATCATACAATCTTTCCAAAAAAGAAAAGCAGATATTTTTTTCTTATTTATTATGTCGTACCTTTAATAAAAGTAATTTTTGGTTCATAGGTTCTACTTAACTGGGATATCTCATTTTTTAGTTCATAATTTCAGCATCCAGAAAAAAAAACACATTATGACTGATGGTTGGTAGTTATGTGATCCTCCAGCAGAGGGCAGAGTGGCTTTAATGTCTGTACTAAAGGGTAGATAAAAGAAGCATGTCAGAACATGTCCACAGCAACATCTTTGATAGAAATCCCTGTTTTTGCCAAAATTCCTTCCAAAATTTTAATTTAAAATTTAATTATGAAACAAAATACAAATCTTCCAGCATGTGTTCTTCCTTCAGTTTAATTCAGTATAATTAATTAAAATGCAACCATATCCAGTTATTTTCAGTTTCAGTCCAAGCAAAAAAAAAGAATAATTTTTTAATCATTTATGGCTTGTTGTTAAAGTCATCAAGCCACTGACTTTACAGCAATCTCTTGATGCTTGAGATGACTTTGGAATGAAACGTCTCTCATTTGGTCAAATCAGACCTGAAAAAAAACAAAAAAAAAACAGAACCAGTATAAATATTTAACTGTCTCTGGAGATGGAGGGAATGAAAAGAGTTCAGGTTTAATTAGCAGATTAGTAAAAGAAGGCGAGGGCAACATTAATTCCAGCAATACGCCTTTCTATCAGCTGCAGTGCTGAATGTAGCTTTGGGCTTTGTGAACTTCATAGGTGCTATATTTACTGTTTCTGCCCAGAAAAGAAGCACAACCAAACAAACACACACAGTGCCCAGAGTTATTTTATAGGCAAGAAAATATAGAAGGCAACAGATTTAATAACAGCAATATCCTGCATATTTCCGGTTAAAGACGGACGGACTGCGCCAGTTCTTTGTTCCATCACAAAGAATAACTAAGGAATCAGAGAGAGGCGACCGGGCCTGAGGCAGCTGCTGCTGGGGATTCCCAGTGACAGCACACTGTGGGGTATGTGGGCTTCTTTGCGCCTCTGACAGAGAAAAGATATTTGGAGGCAGGATTGTAATCTTGATGAACTGGCTGCACAGATGATGTTTCAGGTGGACTTTCTTGCATAAAAATATATTAAAACATAATTTTACCCACTTATAACATAAGCATCAGATGCATCTAGACACACTTTACCGGATGCGCTTCAGGAGCGTCAAAGATGCTCTTGAGGCGCGTCTGACCTTAAAGGAATAGTACACCCAAAACATGATTAGCCTTCATTTTCTACTCACCCCCATGCTGAACAACACTCTGGAGTACTTTTTTGATATCTCAAATGCATCTGGAGATCTGGGAGGCTTCTTGCTGTCTGCTGACATTCAAATAATGGAGGTCTATGGTGCCCGAGACAGAAAGGTCCATAAAAGTCCACAAAAAACGTGTCAATATTCCTCCATACTGCTCGTCCAATGTATTCCAAGTGTCCTGAGTGGGTAGCATCCAGAATTTACTCGCAACGAAGTCATTTAGAATGTTTTTAGAGCATAAACAGTAGTGTATAGGATTTCCTGAAAGCGCGCACATGCGCGTTCACGACGCTACGGAAGCCGGCAGACCAAACCAAATGAAAGTGCGCATTCAGCGTCTGCTCTGCCAATAATGCAACCGTAGAAGAAGAAATGTGCTGTTTACCTGTGCAAAGAAAGAAACAACGAAAGAAAAATGTCTGAGGACTTCAGTGTTGAGGAAGAGCATGAGTTCTTTGCCGAGCTGAATGCGCTGGTTTGGTCTGCCGGCTTCCGTAGCGTCGTGAGCGCGCATGTGCGCGCTTTCAGGAAATCCTATACACTACTGTTTATGCTCTAAAAACATTCTAAATGACTTCGTTTCGAGTAAATTCTGGATGCTACCCACTCAGGACACTTGGAATACATTGGACGAGCAGTATGGAGGAATATTGACACGTTTTTTGTGGACTTTTATGGACCTTTCTGCCTCGGGCACCGTAGACCTCCATTATTTGAATGTCAGCAGACAGCAAGAAGCCTCCCAGATCTCCAGATGCATTTGAGATATCAAAAAAGTACTCCAGGGTGTTGTTCAGCATGGGGGTGAGTAGAAAATAAAGGCTAATCATGTTTTGGGTGTACTATTCCTTTAATGTGGACAAGCTTCAAAAATGAAGCTGCAGACGTTTTTTTTTTGTGAACGTAGCATTACACTTGTTTGAATTAACCCGACCTGATCTCATGTCCTACTGATGAGATTTCCCCCTCTAGTCAAGCTCACATGATACCAGGGTGTATACCGTATGAAATATTCCTAGCTAAAAGCAACGACCTCTACCTCACAATTCCTGATTGGGAGGTGGTCGTGAGAGGCTGATCGCCCCTCGTTACCCCCTGTACACTACACGAGGCATGATCAGGCTGAAGGTCAGCCCGATCAGAAAATTCTCGCACGACTGGAAAGTCGCCCCGAAAAAGGCAAAAAATCGCACAGTGTACGCCCGGCTTAAACAAGTAATAACAGTACGTACTATTCGTGCCGATGTCGTATCAGGTCAATATCAGTATCTGTCACACAAAGCTGCAATATCGGTATTGCATTAAGAATAAAAGCTTTTTTTTTTTCAAGAAACATACAAACAGGAAATAATCAAGAGAGGTGTTAAATATTGTAAAACTGACTTCATCACACAGAAAAGTCATCAGACTTTTCAGCCTTGATTCAGTTTTAACTAAAAGTAGAGTCTATTTTCTTTATTCTACAGGGCTTTCTCCCTTGATGTAACTCTTGAGGTTTGCTTAATAATAACCTCCCTGAACAGAAACTAGGCCTCTTCCAGCATCATACGTTTCAAGTAGCGAGGATGACATCAGTTTCCACCTCCAAGTCCAAGTCAAGCTTTTAGGACAACCAATCCATCCTGACACACGAGTGACATTCATTCACAGCAGCCCGTCCTGCTCACTCAGACCGAGTCACCGGAAAAGAAAGTGGCCCGTTTTCCTTCCTCCTCCTCCTCCTCCTCCTCCTCCTCCTCCTCCTCCTCCTCCTTCTTCGTTCTGAGCTGTCATCAGCAGCACATAGGTGCTTTTCTTAGTCACTACCTGCAGGGGAAAAAAAAGAAACAAACAGAAGAAAATATGTTGAACATTAAAGTGGGATGATGACATCATCTTCAAGTACAGTTGAGTCACGGATTGTTGAGCTCTGAAAATATTAAGAGGTTTTTCCCAGTATTTTCCACAAATTACATGTCTATGTGTGTCATCTTAAATGCACTACAACCTTTAACCTTTAACGCACTCAGAATTTTATGGACAGGATCTGATATTCACCGTCTTGGATGAAAACGTTCCCACATTCCTTATTGAGGCACCAATAAAATATAGAAAAGGCTGTTATCCTAATTAACATTAATTCTATTTCCTTCTCAAGGTGCAGTTGTTGATGAGTCCACTGGAAAGGTTCTGGTTGTACAAGACAAAAACAAGGTAAACACTCTAGTGGCTCAAACTTTATTACTTTAAGTTCATTTTTATTCTTTTAAGATTCAGTTATATGAGCAGCTCAAAGCCTATAGACACCTTTGGACAATTTAATCTGTTTTTTCAGGTGTTAAGGTTTGTTTGAGGGGAAGAATCAGGATGTCGCTCCCTGATTTCCAGCTTTTTGTCTAAATCTTACCTCCTGATTTCAGTTTCAGATTAACAAAGAGGAAAAAAAAAAGATTAAAGTTATTTAAGTATTAGGTTAACTGAGGATTTAAGGAACTGATTCCCATGTATGCATACAACTATTTACAATGTATAAACTGAAAATGGTGGAGTTTTTTATTTTTATGTATTTAATGAACAGAAAAAATGTATAAATTGACCTTATGTTTACGGATTTGGGGAAAAAAGGACCAATTCTGATCTCCAGAAGATATACTATGTTATAAATAGCAATACTACGAAGCCTATAAGGATTCCACTAAATAACTTGGACATTATATGGATTCAGTCCAGCAGGACAGAGGAGCATTAATATCTTTTTTTCAGGCAAAAGTGTAAAAGCAGTGCCTTATATTTTAGGCCTCGAGGTAATTAGTGAAAATAATGAGCCAGAAAACCATAAATATCCTGTCGCCGCTAAAAACGCAGATGATTAGTCTTCTTATTTACAGACATGCACTGCTTCTGTTTATCCAAACTGAGGTTGGAAGTCCTCCCAGACATTCGCCTCCTTTGCTCCAAGCAGCAAAATTGCTTCATACAGCTGCTCTCCCGCTTCAATTTCAATCGGCGTCTTTCAAAGTTGTTTCTGCACACCTATCGTGTGCGTTTCCAGTTGCACCGATGAGACTCACTGCAAAAGGCTGCTTCTGTTCTTAAAATGTGTATCTTTAGGAATATTCATCGTGAAGTAAAGGAGGATTCCAGTAAAAGCTCCAGACGCGCTCACACCTGGGAGCAGGTTTAGATAAACCCAATATGCAGGTTTTAGGTCCACAAATAATTACGCTAAAAGTAATAAATTGCTTATAGATATGTTATTAACTAGTCCATAAAAAATGTTTATTATGTAATCAGCATCTTATGCATGCTAAAACAAATTGTGTTAGCAAATGCTTGTTGTTCTTACAGTGTTTTCTAAAATGTTAATGAGATATAGATAAGAATCACAACAGATTAGGATCATTGTTTTGCAAAAATAAATGCATATCTGTAAACTATTTGTAAGGAGAGGCTTATTGTAAATTGGTACCATTTTACAAACCACAGATTTCCTCTCCAGTGATTGGTCAATGTCTCGGCCTATCCAAGCTCTCCCTCTTTCTACTTTGACAACATCAGAGTAATCAGGCGCTAATTTGGAAAGTGTAGCTGCACCAGTGATACTTTAATGAAACTCATTTTTAATGTTGCGACAGAAAAAAGAAACAGCAGACGTTTAACAATCAGATTCTTGTCATTCTAAAGCATTTTTACGTGAACCATGGGGATATATTGGGCAATCAAATCAAACATATAAACCAGTGTTACTAATTTGCAGATCAGTATTCACAGTACTATTAGTGACCGGCTTGTAGGTGCAGCTAAAGTTTAAATCTATATCAACAATATAGCTGTAAGTCTCCTTAGGATTGAACCTTCTTGTTCATGCTTCAATGCAAACACCTGCACCTGTAGTCTGAGTATCTATCCATACTAGTGGCGGGCGATGAATATGGTATCGAATCCTTCAGTGGGCACCCCTTAAATTATTCTACATCTTATCCCCAATTTGCAACGATGGGTGTTAAGGAGATAATATCACTACTTTCAGTTTTTATAAAACAAACCAGCAATAGTATTTAAATGTGAAATGTAATAAGTGCAGGTATAACAGCGAGGAGGATTAGTGTGAGGGTAAATATAAAGATTAATTAGGCAAGAAACCCAATTAAGACAACCACAAACCTCTACTCTATAACCACCATATTCATATCCTCAGTAGCTGTTTGGATTCAATATGCATCTAATTACCAGATTAAAAAGTGCATGAAAATAAAATATATCCCACTCACCAGAGATGCTGATTATTTTAAAGTAAAATCCATCCTTCTGTCTTTGTGCAGGAAGTCTTTGCGTCTCCAATTAGTATCAGCCATTGAAGCCAGGAAAACTTTTTACAAAGGTCATTTATATAGCAGACTGTTGTTAGCTTAACTTGGCTGTAAACATTTTGCTCACACTGACCAATCAGAGGATAGAAAATGCTGACGTAGAGGTGAGCCCTCTAGATGGCCCAGTGGGGCAAATCTGAAATCTGATTGGTTGAAGAAAACAAGTAAGGTTGATGGACAAAGCAACGAACAAAAGCTGGAATCTGATTGAACGAAAAATATAGCAGCCACGTCAATGTAATAGAAGCAGCGCGGCCAAGAGAAAAGCTACAAAATTAGCAGAATGGATTGTTTGGAATCAATTAATAGAGTTGGATAGAAGAAAATTAAAGTTGGTGTGATTGATTTTAGGCCAGCCTTGAAGGCCCTCACAGCCCACTACTGATCCACCACTAATTTCTGGACATGTCATTTAACCCTCGAATAATAAACCATTAAAGAATGACTAATACAGGGTTTCTGCGGGTCATTAAAAAAGTCATTTAATTATTATTTTTTAAATGAAGGCCTTAATTAGCATTAAAATTCATTAAATGTGTTTTTTGTGGCATTTAAAATGCTTTATTAAAAAGAAATGTTTATAAAAACAATTTTGTCAGACATATTATATCACAATATATTTGCACGGAACTGCTTCCGGTTGATCGCAAAGCTGTATGCTCAGAAAAGAAGCTTTAGTCAGAGAAAAAGCTAGAGAATGGGGCGAAAAAAGCAAATTTCAACAAAAGTGGTTGGAAAACGAGGAATTCGGGACATGGCTGTAGCCTGTCGAATAGCTGTTGGTGGCATTAAAATTATTTCTAAGAGCATTAAAAGAGCAATAAAAAGCATTAAATTTGAGTTATTCATTCCTGTATAAACCCTGTAATCTGACTGTCATGTCGGTGAGTGGATGTAAATGTCAGCTGTATGTAACAGTCAAACACATATAAAATGAATCCAACTCTTCATTCTAGGAAACACAATGCACCTCTACCTAAAATGAATTGCTACAAATGATAACAAGTAATTCAATAAAGTTCGCCCAACTTCATTTCTTCAATTTGGAAATGTATATATTAAGTCTGATCATCTTGATTCAGTTACTTGTTACAAAATGAAGCAATTTATTTATTTAATATGGAGCTTGTTTCTCTGTCTATAGTTTGAAGATTAAACCAAAACCTGACCAAGTCTGATAGACTAATAGGAGTCAATAACATCTCAGCAGCTCATGGATGAACCTAAAGTTGGAAAAGCAAATAGCCTGGAAGTGACACAACATTTTTATCTCTTCTACACCTCCTCCTCCTCACTGAGAACTTTACTGGAAATGACGTAGTTCACAGCCTGGTCTTTTGGCAGTAGAAGTTCCCATGAGGCTGAATGAGTTCATCAAGAGTCATGAAGCCTCTGAAAAGCAGCTAAGAGGTCATCTGTAATAACAATAACCAACTGATGAGGTTTAATGTACCTTAATGATCTAAAATGCACCATTATCAGGGTGTTATTCAGCATTCCTTTGGGTTTAATGTTCACTCATTCAGCTCAGACTCTCAAGCAGACCAGAATCTCTTTATTTCCTTCTTACTGCACATTTTTGAAAAGAAACCAAAACACGCTGGCTTTTTTCAGCTTTACATGGATACCAGAGCTGCAGTGCATTTATGTAATTTACAACAAAAAAGAAAAAAACATAGAAGTTACTAGAAAAATGCACACAGGCGTCATTAATTTATCCAGCAGCAAAGTGTTATTAAATATCAAGTGTGGTGAAGCAGCTTGGTCAGAGTCTTTTCGGCAAAGTTTTCCCTTCCTGTGTAATTATTAGCTCTGCTGTGAACTACAAAGATCCGTCTCTATAGAGAGGAACGTTTATGGTGATGTTATGTTGGGATTTATCTCAGATTCATTTCCAGTAGTGACAGTTCATCTTGATTTTTCTCTCTGATTCCAGACCAAGAACGCCTGGAAGTTTCCTGGCGGCTTGTCTGATCCAGGAGAGAATATTGGTGAGTGCCACAGTCAGCAGAGAAAGTTAAAATACTACAGTACAGCTAAATAAATCCCTTTAAAAATAACCTATACATTCAATTAACCTGTACAAATAAAGGCACATGATATAGATCTTCATTGTCCCACTGGAGCCTCTGTAACATTTTAAAAGCAGCGTTGAAATTATTTACATGATTCCACCTGAAAAGCAGCATCAAACTAGGTTTTTACAAAAAGGTTGTTTAAAATACAGACTGGAAGCAGAATAAACATATTTATAATTGTCAGGGTCCTGTAAATGTTTTCCCTCGTTTTAGCTCTGTGCAGATGTCTTAATTTTACCGCTAATTTCTTCAGATTTTGCTTCCAAACGGTTCTGGTTCCTGGAGTAAATTGAAGTGATCCATATTACTAGATTATTAATTTTTCCTTTGACTTTGGGCGCTTTCATGAACATCACAGCAACCAGTGTTTAGAGGTTAGCTACAAAAATTATGGAGCCAGAACTACCAGATATCCAATACTATTTGAGACATGATCAATTCTAAAAAGAAAAAAGGGATTAAATTAAAATGAACACTAAGTGAGATCAAAAGCAGGATTCCACAAAGCTAAAAATTATAGGTTGAATCTAAGATAATTGGACATTTCAGAGATTTTTTTATAACAATAGGTCATTTAGATTTGCCCTGGCAGATTTTCACCTTGGTTTTGTGACAGTGAAAATACAGTGAATGTATTTCCATCAATTAGTCATCCAGCGAAGGCTCCTCTTACATCAGTTCCTGCCCCTTTAAAGAAAACAATAAACATCAACACTAAAGCTGGTGTCTGATTCAGCTCCTAACCTCTGGTTGTCCAGGTAACACCAGCTATTTATTCATAGGTTACAATTCGTATGTTAACTTCAGCTTTCAAGAAACAGATTTTCTAACAATTTTAGTGAAACTAACTGAAGGAAAATGTTAAAATGGTTTCAATTATCGGTAGGACAGTTTGCAGGTAAAACTTTGAGGTTAAAGAAAAACAACCTTAGAGTGATTTTAGTTCAAGATTGTGATTGATCTTGGAATGGGATCGATCTTTTTTAAGCTGTATGGGCTTAAAGAGACAGTAGGTTCAGATTTTCATGACTCCACTCTAAATATATTAAGGATATACCGCGTTTTACTACATGTAACATGAAATATATAAAGGCTGTTGTTGACCTTCAGTAACTGAGTAAAAAGAGACCAAAATCCAAGGGAAAAGACTTTTACAACTTTTAAGAACAAATGATGAAGACTGTTTAGAAATTGCAGTAAAGTTGGACTCATAGGAAGCAAAGTCTAAAGAAATATGTGGTTTTTTAAGACGTTTGCACAGAGACAGATATCTGTACCGAATCTCCCCCAGGTGCCACGGCTGTCCGTGAAGTGTTCGAAGAGACGGGCGTGCGCTCAGAGTTCAGATCCCTGCTCAGCATCCGGCAGCAGCACCAGCATCCCGGGGCCTTCGGCATGTCGGACATGTACATCATCTGCCGGCTGAGCCCGATCACCTACGACATCAACTTCTGCACCCACGAGTGTCTGCGCTGCGAGTGGCTGAACGTGAGCGAGCTGGCCGAGACCAGCAGCACCACGCCCATCACCTCCCGCATCGCCCGGCTGCTGCTGCACGGTTTGGAGCACGGCTTTGACAAGATCGACCTCACCATGGAGGAGCTGCCCGCCGTTTACTCTGGGATGTTTTACCAGCTGTACCACAGACAGCTCCCTGTTCTTTCATAGAGCTCAGTTAGTGTTTTATGGTCCAGTATTGATCCCGTTTAGAGACCGGACCGTTAAAACATGTGTTCATACTGGAGGTTCTTAGTGTCTCAGGATAAGTTTCCCTTCCATGGCTGATATAAAATGCATTATTTATCACACACCCCCCTTTTTGATTTGATACTTGCCTTTTTAAAGTCTAAATCAGTTTAACTGAGTCTGATTTTGCACTAATCTATCTTACAGAGATAACAGAAAGCTTTAAAAGCTCATTTTTATCTATCAAACATTATGGAAATGTTCCTGCAACATTAAATATAGATTTTACTGCGTTTGCCTCTAGTTACTTTACGACACCTTGCTGTAGAGTAGTCCTGGAGTTATACTTTTAAATATGTGGCACTGTTTGAAGGTAAAGTTGAATAATATTCAATATGTTCAGGAGGAAAGAGTCAAATCGTCACAGCTCTTTTAGGCAATGTCAATGCATCACAGGTCATTGCCTTCACAAAGACGCCTCTGTCTCTGTCGCTCCGATTCCTGGCTTAGCGCTTCGCCGACATCGGCAGAAAGAGAATGGCCTTCTGACCCGGTCCGGTTTTGTTTCCGGACTTGTACTGGCCGGTCCTCTTCAGCGCCACGTACATGCTGGGGTACTTCCTGGAGCGGTAGGTGTTGTAGTTGTTGCTCTCGAGCCTTTCTAGGAAGTAGGACTCGTCTGTTGGTCGTCTCTAGAGGAAAAGGCACAGGACATTTTTCACATTGGTAAAGTTTAACAGCAATTTCTTTTTTTCTTTGTTGCCAAAAAGAAAAAAGATATATTCAATAAAGCTGGTTCAGTCTGAGAGGAAAAAAGTCATTAAAGAGCAAAAAAATACGAAATGGTAAAGTAGTAACTTGAGTACTGAGTAATTGTTGGGTCATAAGATTTTTTTATTGCTTAAAAAGATGTAATCTGACAGACAGAGTTGTGCAGATTCTGGCATCTCAAATTATGAAATAAAGTATAAATAAATAACATTAATCCAAAATGAAACATTTTTTCAGAATAAAATAGTTTCCACATCATTTTTTCAAAGTAAGCTTAAATAAAATCTTGAATACATAATGTTAGTTAATATGTTACTTTGTCTACTTAAGTTACTGGTACGGGGTAGAGTAACCAAAAAATGTACTCAAGTAAAGGCCCATTCATACCTCACGTAAAAGACGGATACGGATACGTGTGGAGTGTTTCATACGTTCTAACCGTCGATTTCGTCCGTACTTTGACACGAAAATTGGGAGCTTACGCTTACGGACGAAACGGATCAATACGGAGCAATACTACCGGAAACGGTGGGGGCGCTATTGAGTTTTTAGTACAAAATGTCAACAGAATCAGGTCTTGGACCATCGCCATGTTTTGATCACTGACGAATCATTGGCGCCCAGCACTGCCACCTAGAGGAAATACGGGTTATTGCGCACCTCAACGGACGGAGGTATGAAGGAGTCAACGGATAGAACGTACGGACAGAAATACGGACGTGCAGGCCAAACGTGAGGTATGAATGGGCCTTAAAAGTAGCGATAATCTAAAAAGAATATTACTTAACTAAAAAGTAAAGCTACTCTTAAGAGTATTTTTTTTTTTTTAAGAGTAGAGGTTTTCTAAATTACCCACATCTGGTCAAGAGTAGCAATGCTTAAAAGAAATATATAAGGCAGCCATCAGGAAACAAAAAAAAAGCAAAATCAGAGAGAAAGATCATATCACTTTTGATTTGAAAAAGACAGACGAAACACAAAGCTGTGTGCAAATGCTGCTAATTCACAGGCTACAGCAAAAATAAAGATGGAAAATTACAAAATAAATTCTATTTTGATTTCCATATGCAACTATTTTGCATTATAAAACCCTCAGAAGCAATACTTAAAGTATGTCATCTAGATATGACAGAACATACCTAGGTCTTCCCAGTGGTATTTAATTATTTTAGTCAATGACTTTCAAAAAGCACAGCAGGTGTGGAGTGAGGCCAATAAAAAAAAAAAAACTCATGGGAAAAAATGTGGTCCTGAAACCTGAAAGATCTGGACATCTGATATCTGTTACTGCAAATAAAGGTTTCTTTTCTTTGTTTTGTTTTAAATGTATCAAACACTGAAGTTATGCAATAAAGTGCTAATTAATTACTTAAAAATCACACAATGATTGTGATTTTTTTATTTTTATTGTAGATTCTGTCACTCATGATCAAAATGAAATATTTCTACATTTACGAAAACATGCAAAATCAGCAGGGTAGCAAACACTTCTTTAGGGCTGCAATTAAAGATTATTTTGCAAATCAATTAATCTATTGGATATTTTTTCGATTAATTTACTATTATTTGGATAGCCAAAGGTTACTCAAAGATAACTTTTTAGGAAATTAAACCAGGTGAAACAAACTTTTTTACTTAAGGAGTTCTGGATAGAGCATATTGACAGATGAAAAAGATTTTATCATGAATGCAAAATGTTTACATATTTCTTTCCCTTTTTTGTATCATTACTGCTCTAAGTGGGTCGCTCTGTCAGCTAAACGCATGTTTTAGAGTCTCTACACTCCAGTTAAAGATTAATTAACTTCTAAATTAGTTGACAATTATTTCAATAATTGATTAATGACAATTAATCCGACAAATTTTAACAGCCCTACACTAGTTCTCCAGACTGTGAGTTTAAATACATGTGTTGAGTTTTAGTTTCCACACCAAAGACTGTTTCAAATGTTTGTTGCTATAGTAACCCTAAAGTATGATCTATTCTCCTTAAAGCCACATTACCTTCTTATATTATGAAGATTTCACGTTAAGCTGTTTCTAATTGCTAAATCCTGTTAATACGTAGGTTCCTTTACATACTGAGCATGGTAAGGTGTATATGGTCAACCAGTTAGCCTCTGGTGCTTTCAGTAACACTTTTAACAATATAGACAGGGTCAGATGTTAGAGGTAAAGGGATTTTTTTTTTTCTTAATTCAAATCATTTAAATAAGACAAAATTCATGCAGTTATTTCTTTTCAGATTGACACAAATTACAGCCAAGTACAGAGCAAACTTAGGGGGCAGCCTCTCATTAGGAGGAGAAAATGCTGGCTGCTAATGGTGCACAAAAAGCCTGTTAAACTCTTGAACTTTGTGAAAAACAGAATTTCAAAGTCACAATTTTACTGCAAGAGAAGCAAATTAAATGGAGCATCAGAAAAAGAAGCACAAAAGTTCTCATTATTATCTGTGCATCATGTCTATTCAATATTTAGCAGGATCTCGGGTCCGTTGTCTGAATGAGACAAGTTCAGAAACAAGAGAATTACAGCCCATAATACTGTGAGGTTAAACATCTAAAAGGCCCTGAACAACCAAGGTCCTTTTTAAATATTTCACCTCAACATGAAAACCTTTAATAACTCAAATAGTTATAAAACATCCTTTATTTTTTTCACACATTAGGTTTCATTTGTTTGCATTTTACTTGTATCTATGTCACTATCAGCCATCAGGACTCTGTTTTGACATTTGCATTCTCCACATCAAGCAGTTCCCCTACATAACACCACAGCAGCTGTCACCTTAACCTAAAACGAACCTCAGATCACACTGATAATTACTACCCTCACTTTTCAGATCGCCTGCCAGGTGCTTCAGAAACTGCTTCTAACTTTATCACTCCACTCCTTATAGTGGCTTTAGGTTTGAAATGTGTCAGCTTCTTTACACAGTACAAAAAGTACCATCTATAACAGTATCTATCAGTATGCAAAGATAACACTGCGCTATTATAAATTACGAGAAAGGAAAAAAGCCATCTAAATCATCCTTGATGATGTGCAGGTAAATAAATAAAAAACTGTATCTTAAAAAATTAGAATATTACACCAGATCAATAGAAAACCTAATCCTTGGCTGGGACTTACGGTGTGAGTTACTGCATTAATGCGGCGTAGCATGGAAGCAATCAGCCTGTGGTTCTGCTGAGGCATCATAGAAGCCCAGATTACTTTGATTACAGCCATCAGATCCTTTTGTTGGGTCTTCCCTTACGCTAATCTAATAACAGCCACTATAAAAGTTTTAACTTTTATTTCCTGGGATGTTCCTGAAAACCGTTAGCAGAATGATTAGCTCTCGTCTTATTGGGTCCTAATGATGGTGAGTCAGCTGAGAACATTCACCAGAGGTAGCACCATGTTCTCTGCATTTAAAGTATTAGACCAAGAGCAGCAGACATAGACCAAGAGCAGCTTGGATGAATTTATTTTAGCACCTGAGGTCAGTGAGAGTTTTTAGTCAGGCATAATAATACAGCTGTATCCATTCAGTCTGTTTAGTTGGAGAAATGGAGGAGAATGAGACACGGTGGCAGTGGTTGACAAGTCAATCTGCATCTGAGGAGGAGAATTCGCTCTTCACTTTCATCCTTTTAAAAACAGTTAGATTATTTTTTTCTTAAATTCCCATCTGATCTGCTTGGAAAGGCAATCTGACCTAAATCTCATGCCACCTACTTGATGCCTTGTGTGATTACATTTTTGTCCTTTGTGACTACGATTTAATGAGACGAGACTAAATAACAGAAGACAATTTGTTTAGGCTTGGAATTTTATAAAAAAAAACAAAGAGGACATTTGCAAAGAGAAAGTCACTCACCGCACCAAACAGCCGTCCATCTCTGTTCATCGCCAGATAACGGTTTGCGCAAATTCCTTTGATGACGACCTCCCCCACCGAGGTCGCCTGCAGCTGAAGCTTAACTGTGGATGAAGATGAAAGTATATTTAAACTGAGTAAACAGAAAACATTTTTTCTTTAATGGTGGAATGTCTAAACAAAGAGAGAATGAGTGATTCCATTTAAAATATAAAGGGTGCATCCTCAGAGTAAATGTTGCCTGGTGAATGGCGTTCTCTTGGAGCTTCGACTTCTTTAAGATTATCCACAGACTTGTCAGTTGCTAGAAAGGCAAATTAAATGGAAGCTGAAACATATTTGAGGAATCACAGCAACAAACATGAATGTGGAGTCCAAAAGAAACCCCCGAAACTATAATCTGTTCACAGCAAGGTAAGGATGGAGATTCCCTTTGGTGAGATTTAGTGACATCTAGTGGTGTAGCAACAGATCACAGCCAAATGCATTTTTATGTCAAGTAGAATAAATGAATAAATTACATTTCTAGAAATTCTCAATTTTAATTCATGAATCTTAGATTTTCTGGGGTATAAATTTGTTGTGACAAAGGCTGCTTTTCGTTAACTGCTCCCTAAAACAGGTAAGTCAAGATAAAAAAGGGTGATGCATGTTGATCTTTATCAGTCAGGAAATGGCTGCATAAAAATAGATTCTTGTTTAACTAGCCCGTAATTGCAGTCACAGTAATAATTAACAAGTTCAAACCAACTGGAACAGCGGTTCAAACAAAGCTGAGCGAGGAGACTTATTTTATTTGGCAGGATAAAAAAAGTGTTACAGTGCAACAGCAAACAGAATTCTCTGGGTCCCCAGGGCAGGATGCATTAACATGGCGGCTCACTGTTAAGTAGGTATCAGAGAAAAAATGGATATTTACCTGTTTAGCATGTATAGATTTCTAACAGCCAAGATTCTAAACAGGTGCAGTTTGCCTAATCCTACCTAGATTTATACTTTGACCTTTGATCAGGCGGAAGAATTTGGCAACAAACACCTCATCCCACTTCTCACTCTTAGGTATGGTGAAAGATCTGTAATGCTGTGGTCCTGTTTCTTCTGTAAAGGCTGTAGGACCCTACAGTATGGAGGACCAATCCTGCCATAATTAAAAATAAATACATAAATAAATGAATGTTCCAAAAATAAACATTGGAGCTCATTAGAGTAAATGTTCAGGGGAACAAATATAAGAATATGATGCACTCTGCCAGAAAACCAAACATTAGTCCTCATCAGGTCTACTGGTAGGATATCGGTCCAAAAACATATGGCCGAACAAAATGGTTCACCAGACACAAAAATCCACCTTCTTCAGCGGTCATTTCATATTGAAAATTATCTAAAAATGGCAGCCTTAATTTCAGCAGGTAAATAAGATGATTTGCCAATGGAATTAGTATTTTTACTCTTAAAATAAGATACCGTAATCAGATATTATGCACTTGAAATAAAACAATACAATTGTTTTTTTTTTTTCTTATTTTATATGTAAGTCGTCTTTTTCCATTGGTAAAGTGGTAAACTTACCTCCTTAAATCAAGAAAAAAAGTGCTTATTTAAAGAAAAAAGTTACAAATTTAGACTTAAATTTTTTTGCAGTGCAGTTCTTCATCCCAGTTATGGGAGGTGAAATAAAGACGGTATAAGGGACAACATAGGATGATCAGAGAGGATATGTGAGAAAGAATGGCCAGTGATTCATGTTTGCTAGCTCTAGGGAATAACTAGAGGAGAAGACTATGTACTGTCTTTTTAGCAAAGAATACAAAGTATTAACCCATCTGTACTTGTGGTGACATTGTTAGAGGCAGTTAAATCAATCAGTGTATGTTTCTTCAACAGCTGAGATAAGCTTTAACAGTTTCCTCTGTGTTCTGACTAACACTGGGTGACGTTTCATATGCAGTAAGTAAATACATCACATCTAAGGAAATTGGTATCACATCCGTCCCAAAGCATCACCCTTATATGGCACACTGAGCCTGGAGGCCGTGTGTGCAACCAACTCAATACTTCAGGGAAACCATCTCCAACTCCTTTGTTTGTTTTGATAGATTCTCCTCGTTTCACAAGCAGAACTCGGATGCATCAAGCCGAGCAGCAAAAAAAAGAAGCAGGGGCCTTGTTAGATAAATTACAGGATCAAACCACATCAAGCCTTTTATTGGGCGCGCTGCAGTTAGGGCAGATGGTCGGATGTTTCTGGTCACAGATCAAAGAGGTGAGCTTCTTTAAAGTAAAACTGCCCTGAGTGAGCTGCTTTGGTCTGGTTTTCACAACTTATGTCCTAAAGGAGAACAGATACCAACCTCCAAACTATACGTTTTAGAACTGAAATAAAGATAATAGTCGACAGTGACGTCCTTCTGAAGGAGTTTTGGATGAGGAGTGGGGTTTCCTCTCAAACACATTTTCTTTCTTCACCTGGCAGGTCTGCATGGGTTTAACAAAAGCTGCATTGTTGCAGCATAGTCAGGTCACAGCCGACTATGTGGGTAAAAAGCTCAATAATTAACATGATTTTCGCTAAATAAAGTATTATTCTTTTTATAAAACAGTAACAGTGTCTGCTTGGCTGACAAATAGCAATAACAAAAGTACTTCAGGATATTTTTTGAGTTCCAGTGAAGTATGTGGTATGCTTCACATGGTGGACAGGTTGCCCTTTATCTTCAGCAGCTCTGCCATGCATGTGTTTTCCCAGGAGGGAGAAAAAGTCTAATTCCACATCCTTCCCACTCCCTCCTAGTCGCTGATGAAACTCCAGGACACACTTTGAGGTTAATCAGCGACTTCCATAGGCCCTCAGGGGCACAGTCATCATTATCTCAAAACAAGCAAGCCTGTGTGTTTACATCACCACTCCAAAAGACTGAGCTGAGTTTTAAAATAAAGCATTTCTTGTGAATCGTTAATAATGCTGATGACTCTGAGAGGGAAGATCTTAATCTGCTGTCCTGTGTGACGTAAAGACTGTGACTCAGCAGGGTGAAAACAAGGCCTAAAACATCATACATTCATTTTCTCCATCACTTCAGAAATCTGAAGGAAACTTTTACAGAACTGGAGTTTTAAACGTCTCTTAGGGTTCTCTGAACAAAGTAATGGATTGATAACTAACCTTGATACACCTCCGCCTTTTATTTCTATTGCATACCTAAAAAATAAGCTGTGTATAATATCCATACAGGAATGAGACGGGGAATACTTACTGTGGGGGTCGTTTTTCTCCCGGATTCCATCCACACCCCCGTCGGGTTTAATCCTCAGGAAATAGCCCCCATTTTTACAGTACAGCCTCTTGGGGTCCTTGAAGTTCCCAGGAGGAAAGCCGGTGCTGCTGCTGTCTTCAGGTACGGCGGGAAGTGCTGTGATTCCTCCCGTCGCCATCTCCTCCTTTTCCACTGCTTCTTGACAACTGCTTCGTCTCCTTCTTGAGAAGTGCAGGAGCCCTGCTGTGGCCTCCCACCTCCCACAAACTTCCCCCTCCTCCCCTTCTCTCTACACACAAACTGATTCCACTTAACCTTAGAGGTCAGTGTTCCTGAGTAGCCCCCCCCACCCCACACACACCCCTCTCAGGGCAGAGAGTGACCTTTAAGGCCTGGAAGTCTTGAGCAAAGCAAATCCTGCAAAGATCAGTTTGTTTCTCATGCTAGGAGCGTCTGATCTGCTCTCCGCTGTGCATCCAGAAGGGTTTACATGCAGCTCTCTCCAGCTTTTTGCTCTTCTTGCAGTTGAAGCAGGGCAGCTGGCTTAGATCTCTGAAGAAGGCTTTCCCTTCTGGGCCTCAGTTCGCATGCGCTCTAGGAGCAGCCACACACACACACCATGCTCACGCCCACTAATCCTCGCCAATTTAACCAGCCAACCCGGCAAAGGTTGGGGAAGGGGGACGGGCAGCTTGGGATCTGTCACTGAGGCCTTCTAGAGAACTGAAACCAGAACCACAAGCAGCAGTATGTGAAGAGAACCTCTGTTTTCATCCATTCAATCTAACAGCAGGAAAAGGAGCATAGAAAAACCAGTCCCATCCAGGATGCCAATGTTATTCTCTCTTCATTAGTTACCCCTTTTTACAAAAAACTTCATGATTTTCAATAAAACTCTTAAGCATGAGTGGATTTTTTTAAAATATTTAAAGCTAGTCAAACAAAATGACACAAAGTATCTGTTTAATAATTGAGCTCAGGAAAAGAAATTGGTTTATTTTATTATTAAATTTTCCAGATTCAGACCTCTACAGTTTTTGATCCTTTTGGGATATTTCATTCATTCATTCATTCATTCATTCATTCATTCATTCATTCATTCATTCATCACGCTTATCCCAAGCGGGGCAGCAAGTGGGTCTGGTGCCTATCTCCAGCTGTCTACGGGTAAGAGGCGGGGTACAGCCTGGACAGGATGCCAGTCCATCGCTGGGCAACACAAAGACAAACAGGACAAACAACCATTCACACCTAAGGAGAATTTAGAGAAGCCAATTCACCTAACAGTCATGTTTTTGGATTGTGGGAGGAAGCTGGAGTACCCAGAGAGAACCCACGCATGCTCAGGGAGAACATGCAAACTCCATGCAGAAAGACCCCGGGCCGGGAATCAAACCCAGAACCTTCTTGCTGTAAGGCAGCAGTGCTACCCACTGCGCCTGGGTCATTTCAATTCTTCACATTTAACATTTACTACAAATATATGATTTACTGGATTTCAAATATCACAGAATAGATAAATAAATAAATGCGTGATGGATTAAATTACAAATTGAGGATAGGCAGATTGATCAGATGATTAAACGAGGAGCAGAACAGAAAATGCTTGGATGGGAAAGTGATGTAATGACACATGGTGGACAAACTGCTGAAAGACAAAACCGATTAGATTTGGAGGTATAAATGTTTTTTACACTTGGTTGTTTTTTTTTTTTTTGTTTTTTTAGGAGTCCTGTTGTAAACTGATGCTTGTCAAAGGAAATATTTATCATTTTGTCAGGTCAGTTAACATTCAGATGTACGTTAAACTGTGCTCATTCTGGTAGAATGGTCTGCAAAAATATTTATCTATAAATCTATTTAAAACAATAAAGTAGAAATAAATAAGTACCGCCAAATCTAGACTCTTTATCTGCTCAGATTATAAGCCACTTTATAAGAGACAACCTGCAATAAAAAGAACTGTAAGAAGATGTTCACAGGAAGCTGAAGAAGCCCTGCAAGGTTGTTTTGAGGCTACAGACTGGGATGCACTGTGTCAGCCGCATGGAGAAGACGTCAATGCAATATATGTGTGACTGATTACATAAACTTAACTTCTTTGAAGATAACAACATCCCTACCAGAACAGTGAAATGCTTCCCAAATACACCATGGATCACAAGTGAACTAAAGCAACTGCTTAAAAAAAAAAAAAAGCATTTAACAAGCATTCTTTCTATCTCTAGAAGTGGCATGAAGAGGCAACTGGAGAGACTGAATCATAATAAGTCACAAGGTCCTGATGGTGTCAGCCCCAGAGTCCTGAAGACCTGTGCAGAGCAGCTCTGTGGGATTCTGCAGCATCCCTTAGTCTGACCCAGTACCAAAGAAAACTCAGCCAACAGTCCTCAGTGACTATACACCTCTTGCCCTGACATCCCACATCATGACGGTCCTAGAGAGACTTCTGATGGTTCATCTCAGCAAGCAAACAAGCAGCTATCAGGAACCCCTGCAGTTTGTTTATCGCTATGGAGTTGGAGTTGATGATGCCACCATTTCCCGCTTCAACAAACCCACTGTTATTTAGACAAGGCAGACAGCACTGTGAGGATCATATTCTTTGATTCCTCCATTACATTTAACACGATTCAGCCTTACTTACTTTGTGAGAAACTTCAGAAGACTCAGGTGGACGCATCAACAATCACCTGGATAAAAGACTACATGTCTAATGGACAACTGTTAGACTGAAAAGTCAGCTGCCTAATCAAGTAGTCAGCTGCACAGGAGCACCACAGGGGACAGTACTCTCACCATTCCATTTTACTCTGTACACGTCTGACTTCCAGAACCACACTGAATCCTTTCATCTGCAGAAATAGTCAGATGACTGCAGTCATTGAGTGACTGGTGAACCGCTTTGTGGAATGGTGTGGAAACATTCATCTGATCCTGAATGCCAACAAAACAAGGGAGATGATTGTAGATTTCAGCACAAACAGGAACAAGTTGAAACCTATTTACTTCTTGGGAGAAGAAGTGGAGGTGGTTGAGGAGTATAAATACCTCGGTGTTCCCTTGGACAACCAAATAGACTGCAGACACAACTGTGAAACCGTCTACAAGAAGGGAAAGAGCAGATAGTCCCTCCTAAGGAAACTTAGTTCCTCCTGCGTTTTCCAATAAGATGCTGCATCTCTTCTATAGGTCTGTAATGGCGAGTGTGATCTCCTCTTCCATCATCGGCTGAGGTAACGGTATTAGAGCTAAAAAAAGAAAAGAAAAGAAAACTTCACCTAATAAAGACGGCACTGGATCTGCTCCTGATCCAGTGCATAACAGACGATACAGAAAATCCTTCCTGCCTACAGCTATCAACACCTACAACAACTGTTTAAAAAAATAACAGATTCAATTCAATTCAGTTTATTTATATAGCGCCAACTCACAACACATGTCATCTCAAGGCACTTTACAGTCCAACAAGACCGTACAGTCAGATTCATTCAAAGTTTTAGATCTAAGGAAAACCAGTTGATGTCTTCCTCTGGCTCCCATTGTTCGGCTGGCCTCTCATGGATTCTGGCAGTAAAAGGGAACAAATCATCAGTGTGCTTCATGCTGCTCTTACTTCCTGGTGGTAGTGTCATCTCACTCTGCACTATAGCTGCTTTTTGTCAGAAAGTCTAAATGAAGGTGTGATCGTAGGTGAAACACCCCTGTGCTGCTCTCCTCCTCTTCCTCCTGCTATGAGTGTGTGTGGCTTGGCAGGTAAGGAATTACCGCTCATTGTAAGCTCCAGGTTGTTGCAGTTTTGAAACAGTGATTTTCCATATTTCTCTCCATATTTGGACCATTGCTGCTCTTTTATCTACCAGATTTCTCCAAGCCTATGATTCAAAGCCAGACTGTGGTGGCAGTCACAACCCCAATTAAAAGTGGTGTTTTGGGCACAGCATCTGCCTCTTCTGTGTGCCGTGATTCCTGAGTTTGGGTTGTCTCACTGCGTTTGGTGTTTTAAAGGTTTTTTGTTAGGGTTAGGGTTAGTGGATGCCGTCCCTACAGTGGCCCCTTCTGTTGGTAACCTCAACTATTGTAGTTTTTTTTTTTTATTATAAAGAATTGGTTTTAAAGGGTATTTTAAAAAGAATTTAATAAAAAGCTCTGTGTAAATTTGAAACTGTCTCAGATGTCTCAATCCCTGCATAACTGAACCTGTGTGCCTTAAAAACAGGGTAATATTCCCTGGGTGAAATTCCCAGGGTGGCTTTGTTGAGCATTTCTTTGATTTTAAAAAATTTTCATTGCACACAATTTCTGAGTTTCCCATAATGCCGCCACAAGTCATTGACTCAAATGCAATCCCTCACACTAAGCATGCTTGTAGCGACAGTGGAGAGGAAGAATTCCATTTTAACAGGAAGAAACCTCCAGCGGCCATCTGCCGAGACCGACTGAGGTTCAAGGAGACAGAAGCAGACATAGAAAAAGAAGCATAGATACAAAAAGAACTTGTAAAATGCGGCCCCGTCCAGGAAACACACAGCCAGGCAGACGAGCTCCGAGCCAACTCAAATCTCAGAGGATGAAAAGAGCACAGAACGAGGATTAAAGGGGATTTAAGAGACTTTTAAGGTGGCGTGGTTGTTGGTGCCAGGTAGATGTATTTCAGAAACTGACGCTCTACTGGGATTCTTTCATCCACGACCATCTCTACAGTTTACAGAGGATGGTTCCCGAAAAATAGACAATATCTATTGACAGGCAGTTCTGTGGGCGCAACTGCCTTATTGATGTCAAAAGCGAATGGCCACACTGGTCTGAGCTGATAGAAAAAACATTGTATTTTGATGCAGGTGAGCGACAGCAGCAGACGACCACATCAGGTGCCACTCCTGTCAGCTGAGGACAGGAAAATGGGGCTATAATTCACACAAAATTGGACAATAGAAGATTGCGAAAAAGTTGTCAGTTCTGATGAGTCCCGGTTTCTGCTGCGACATTCAGATAGCAGGGTCAGAATTTGGTGTCAACAAGTCCATTCTGTCTTGTAATACTTCAGGCTGCTGGTAAGGGTGTAGGGCATATTTTCTTTGTACGCTTTGGGCCCTTTAGTACCAAATTGAGCATTGTGTCAACGCCACACCCAATAGACTACCTTTGGGATGTGGTGAAAAGAGAGATTCACATCATGGAAGTGCAGCCAACAAATCTGCAGCATCTGCATGATGCTATCATGTCAAGATGGACCAAAATCACTGAGGAATATTTGCAGTACCTTGTTGGATGTATGCCACAAAGCAGATCTAGCAGCTCTGAAGGCAAAAGGGGATCCAACCTGTTATTGGGAGGTGTACCTTATAAAGTGGCCAGTGTGTATATCTATGGCATGTTTTAAATGACTTCAATCTTAAACTCCAAATCCTCTATCTGGGTTTCGAGTGACCAGGCTGAAGCTCTGAGCAAAAGATTAGGGTGATGGTAGGAAGGCTTTAAATCACAGAAACTTGGATGCTTATGCTTTTCTTAAATTGACTCTGTATTGAGCCTAGAGATGATGTGTTGTGAATTTAATATTAAATTAAATAATTACGATTT